TCATTTGTGGACGGAATGGAGTCAAATTTTGTAAGGTGTCTCACGGAGGAGGTTAGAAAACATAAAGACTTTATGATACATTAACGAAGGATGTTTTAAAGCTAAAATGAAAACTTTCTCTACCTCCTCGTCCTTGACGCCATGACTGAAATTGCGAAAACTTAAGGAATTTGTCAGGCGATCAGTACGCTCAAGTATGAAGTCTCAAACGTCTGCGGACAATATGCACGGAGACCACACGGCTCACGGCCTGTACCTGTGCCTGAGTATGTGAGCGCCTTTACTCTCATCGGCTTCAATCTCACCTATTCATTTCTCTCATGTTGCATTAGTTCACCTCTACAGTCACACCCCCCCCCCCAATAAACTACTGCTATTTAAAAAGAGAAAATAAAAGTATAAAAACACATATTCCATATATCTTTCAACTGTTTATGCTCACAAGAATATCTGTTTTTATACATACTGCTGTATTTTAAACTACAAAGTCAAATATTCTACAAACAGCAATAAAGTAGCATTCGTAGTGTGTAAAAACGACTTGACGACCAGAGATCATCAGCATCGGTGGTAAAAAAAAGAAAAACATTTGAACATTTTGTGAGGTTCAGCTTTTTTCTAAACCCTTACTTTTATAAGAGCATCACTGCAGATGAACAGACGAGAATGTCCACTGATTCAGCCTGAACTGGACAGAAAACCTGCTGAAGCTGTTATCTGACTGGGCTGCGGCTGCAGGAGACTAGTTGGTGATTGGTCATGTGAGCGTCTTGACATCTGTGCATTGGTTCCCAGTTTCCTCATGCAAGCCTTTTTCAATTTTGAAATTTTAATTTGTTAAAAAATGTTGTCACAAATTAATTCTGAAAATAGTTAGTGAAACTGCAGCGGGCATCTCAAAACCCACTCAGTTTATTTTTGGTAACTCTTGAGCTGCTGCTAGGAGTTTTTATTACATCTAAACCTACAGCCCCAAAACTTAGGTCTAAAAACCACACCAATAATAAATAACACATTACAAACTGGCACAGATCTATCCATCTTTATTTCTAAGGTTTAAGGTTATTTTATCATTATTTAGTTGTTTTAGTGCTGTTGCTGTGATATAGTTAAAGTGCCTATGACATCATTTTTTATAATTAAAATGAATGCATTTTTGGAAAGATAACATTGATAATGTATTGTAAAAAAGATTTCACGCCACTGAGATGAACAGTTGTTGAGATATTTGCATGTGAAGAAACAGGAAGTGATGTCAAAGGGGAATGTCTGAATGTAAACAGAGCACTGCTAAAATGGCTAACAACACAGGTTGTAGAGAAGAATCGAATGTTTCTTTTTATTATTTTGATTGCTATCATAGAGAAATGAGAAAGAGTTATAGTTCAAATAATATTGTTTAAATAAACAAAAAACAGGGAGTTTTCCTTCTCAAAGAGTTCCCCTTTGACGTCACTTCCTGTTTCCCTTTAGCTGAGCAAAATTCAAAAGAAAATATGCCAATTATGTGACATAATGGGTAAAATCATGTGTATTATGCTAAGTTTCTTAAATATAAATATATTTTCTTTGATTTTTTTTTGTATTTCATGGATATGCATGTCACAAGAACTTTAAGACAAAGAAAACCACACATTTACAGTACATCCCACTGACTGTAAGCTGTAAATGTATGTATTTTCTCAGAATCTAGTCTCAAATAGTCGCAGCTCAGTGGCTCAAACTGAAAAAAAAGAAGCCGTCACACCTGCAGCTCTTTCAGGTGTCACCAGCTTTTCTAGCAACATTTAAAAGGCACATAATGTGTTTTACTAACTGTAGTGCAATATGAAAGCTTAAAGAGCATGGCTATTATTGAAATTCCAGCAGACAGCCCTTCCATCCACTGCCCTTCAGTGTACTGCAGAGAACTGAGGAAGAAGAAGTATCATCTGGTTCAGGAACAACAACAGCACCAGCAGAACACGTCTGCTTTATGCTAACCTAAACTAAAACAGCTTTAAAGAAGCAATTTTATTCACAAACCTAAAGACTCAAACTTGATTTCAAGCATAAAGTTAAAGAATAAGACACCTGTGTGAACAGGAAGTTTGTCTTTTTAAAGCCTCCTTCACACTCAGTACTGTCTTGTGTGAATCCTCAACCACAGAACCCTTCAACATCTCCACAGGCATTAAACATGGTTTCGTCATAGTCCCAGTCTTCCCGTCTTTACATTGTCCCCATCATCAACCTGATTAAACACAACCTTCCTCCTGTTGTTACAACCAACCTTTGACTCTTTCCAAAGTAGCCATGTAAGCAACCATCCCCTGTTTTTCACACAAACCGCTGAGACTAAACACGAACACAATAAAAGCATATCCCATATTCCAACGTGGTTCTGATGGACGAGGTCATTTCAATGACAGTTGGTCTTAGCGTGATACTAAAGAAGCATCTTATCAGCCGATGCTGCACTAGACTCTGCTGGGTTCCTGGGCATCTCCATCACCAAGGACCTGAAGCAGGCCCAACACTCCAATAAAGGCTGTTAAGAAGACTCACAGGAGGATGTATGCACTTAAGGTGCTTCAAAGGCTAAACAACTCCAATGAAGTACACGCCCAGTCCTACAGCACGTCCTGACCTCCAAGTCAGTGTTTCACTCTGGCTTTGTTGTTCACACTAAACATTAACTTGATCACATCAATCAAGCCAGGCAGTAAACTGACTGGAAAACACCAACAGCTGATGATGGATCTGCTCAGTGACAGAGTTATGAGATGGGCATGGAAGATGGCAACAACGCCTTCCTGAAAAACTAAAAGGTCCTGTGTGTTGGAACAAAAACTAGCAGGCACAGAAATAGATCTTTCCCACTGCAGTCTCCCTTCCTCCTCCTGCAACGCAACCTGGACAAAATTCCTGTGTGCAGCTCCCTCTACATTTGGCAAAATACATGTGATTGATTGGTTCAGAACTCCAACACCCCACTGGACAAGCAGCAAGTACCTTGGGGAAGCATAAGGACCAGATAGACTGATAGTTGAACTATTTCATGGTTTTATCTGGGTACTCAGATGTTTTATGAATAACCCTAGATCATAAGACAGAAGAAATTTAAAAGTGCATTTCTATTGAAAACAGAGGGCTGCAGTAGCTCCGTGGTCAGTGCTGAAGTCTTGTAACCCTGAGGCTGCAGGTTTGAGTCCAGTCTGCATCAATAAGAGCATCAAGCTAAAACAATTGTCAAATCTCACATGTGAGACTCTACTCTATGGCAACCCTTGCAGATAGGGGTGTATAATGCTGCTGTTGCTTTCCTTTTGGCTGCTCCTTTTCTTTAGGGGTTGCCACAGTGTGTGAACTTTAGGATGCATTTACTGATGCAACCTGGGCTTGAACCTGCAGCCTCAGGGTTACAAGATCACAGCACTGACCACCAAGCTAGAGCAGCCTCCTCTGACTATTAATCAGGCTGATGATAAAATAAAGCACAACTTGGTCCTATGAAGGGATGTGTGGACCTGCTGCCTCTGCATGCACAAGTGGAAACAGGTTAACAAGAATCCATGCAGCGCATGCTGAGATGCATACATACGGTAAATGCAGTGACATAGTGACAATTTCATACCCTAATAATACAAATAATCAGTCACTGGGGACAAAACGGTAGGGTTGTATGATACCCAATACCAGTATCAGGTACCATCGAACCATGTATGTGTACTTGTACTCATAGTATTGATATCACATTATCACTGTGAGACAGCATGACTTTCACCTCTCAGTTGAGCAGTCAGGTGGTAAAACAGGAGCAATGTCAGCCATAGAAGTGTGTTTTTTTAAGTGGGCTGTCCTGATATACACTTCTTATCAGTTGGAGGCAGCAAAGCACCATAATGTTGTTTACTTACTACCACTAGAAAAAGAAAAAAATTAAGAAGCTGCTATGTAGAAGCAACAGTGACAAAAACAAACCACTGCAAAGTTGTCAAGAGATGGGACAAAAAACTTTCAACACAACATCTAAAAATCAAACACAATGCTGAGTTCATAGAGCGAGCGAACACCAGCTGAAAATGACTGCAATCTGTCACTGAGCAGAAAAGGATTCTGGGAACACACTGATCGAAGTCCAAGCTTCCCATCAACGACATTCACAATCAATGGGTACTATTGGACAAAATTATTGTCTTGCTCCGTTTGAGGAGTTAACGCAAAACTTCAGGAAGGAAGCAGGCAGTTCACTGAAAAAGGCCCCCGTCATTCTCATCACTGAGGTAAGAAATGGTTTTGTTAAAAAGCGTGAGAGTGGTGGAGGAGTTATTGACCCAAGAAAGCTGAGCCGGTGAGTCAGCTGTGGGTCGACCACTGCCATCAGTCCACACCGTTCTGGTGAAAGTAGAAATGGTCAAATTGGACCGATTATCAGAGTCTTCCAACACTAATTATAGACAAACCTGAAAAGCTGCTTAGTGAATAGAAGCTGCCAACACTGTCTCCAAAGAAGGCGCAAAGCTAAAGCTTCAAACCAGTGACTTTTCCACATCTCCACTCATACTGCTGCTGAGTCATACTGTTTATACAACGCTTATATTTCAGCTTTCAGCCATGTTACAGTACAGGAATAGTGCTGTGGGTCTGAGCAACAAACTGGATGAATGTTTTTTTGGGGCGCTGGTGGGACAGCATTGAAACAAATTCTTTTAACTTGAATCTTATATCAGCTTTCTGTGTTTGTTAAACTGCTGAACAACAGGTTAATGAGTTGGAAGACATTTTAGAGAAACAGCAACAAAAAATCTTGCTGTGAGTTAACATGTAAACGTTTCAACATTTAAATAAAAAATATTCAGCTTCATGTACAGCTTTAGAGAAAAATGTTTAGAGTTTTCTTCTTCACAGCAAGAAACAAGGTGTTGTGTTGTCTGCCTTCTGGTTGGTGGGAAAAGAGAAACAAATGTGTCCTTTTTTATTTGTATACAGAAAAAAGACCCGAAAGCCACTGATGCTTATTGAGTTTGCATATTTTTTACTTTCAAATTTAAGTAGCAGTATTTTGATTAAACATAAGTAACATATGTTTATGTAAACAAACAAGACATTATGCTGATTTTTTAAAAATTGAACATTACATTTTTTCTAAAAGCTGACTTTTGTTGATTATCATTCTCTTGTATGTTCAAATATTCATTTTTCAAACAGATTTAGTTATAATAGGGTTATACGATAGCAAAACAAACAGCATGATTGTGTAGGGAGAGGATTTAAATGGTAAGAAGTGGCAGCAGTTTTATTTTGTCACTAAATGTCTTCGCTGCAAAAAAAAGGGGGGGCAAAAGAACAATAAATAAAACAAGTGTGCAAGTCAGAAGTTCCTTATATTTTTACTAAACTACAGTTCTACTTTTTTGGAGTAATTTTGAACCAGACTGATTTTTTTTTTTCTACTAAAGTACACTGAATTTATTAGTTTACCCACCTTAAAGATTGTTGCCTAATGATTTCAATGTAACTTCCACTCATGACCAACAGCCAAAATAGAAAATAAAGCAACTTAATAAAGAAAAACTATGATGAGTGATGAAATATATCCTTACAACACAGCAGGTCACTGGGGGCCTTGCTTGTCCAATTTGATTAACTTCAAACTATATATTATATTTTATATACATCAGTTTTGCTTTGTAACACTGCTAATTGTTGACTGAAAATGACCGTAGATAACTGCTCGTCTGACAGACCATAACTTTGGGGCACTTCAAAGAACGTGAAAAATAATCTTCAAAGAAGTGCTCTTGACTTATTTGAAGCAGGAGTTCCATCTATCATTAGTCAAGGTGGAGGGGTTGTTTCCCTCAAAAGGAGGCAGGAACATTAAATGTACAGATACAGTGGGGAAAGTAAGTATTTGATATACTGCACATTTAGTAAATTTTGAATGATTTTTAGATAATTAATTTACATTTTACTGCATGTAATAAGCATTTGATTCATTAGAAAAACAGAACTGAGTATTAAGTACAGAAATCTTTGTTTACAATTACAGAGGTCTGACGTTTCTGGTAGTTCTTGACCAGGTTTGCACAMACTGCAGCAGGGATTTTGTCCCTCTCCATATATATCTTATCCAGATCTGCTAGGTTTTGGGGCTATTGCTGGACAACATCGAGTTTTCAGTTCCCTCCAAAGGTTTTTAATTGGGTTCAGGTCTGGTCACTGGCTAGGCCACTCCAGGACCTTGTGATGCCTTCCATGGAGCCACTCCTTAGTGTCCCTGGCTGTGTGTTTCAGGTCACTGTCATGCTGGAAGACCCAGCCATGACCCATCTTCAGTGCTCTTATTGAGAGAAGGCAGTTGGTGGCCAAAATCTCACAATACATGACCCCAACCATCCTCCCTTCAATATGATCCAGTCATCCTGTCTCCTTTGCAGAGAAGCACCCCCAAAGCATGATGTTTGCACCTCACCATGCTTCAGGGTTGGGACGGTGTTCTTGGTGTTGTACACATCCTTCTTCCTCCAAACATGGTGAGGGAGTTTATATCAAAGAGATGTGTTTTGGTCTCATCTGACCACATGACCGTCTCCCATGCCTCCTCTGGATCATCCGGGTGGTCACTGGCAAACTTCAAACGGGCCTGGACTTCTGCTGGCTTGAACAGGGAGAACTCGGATTTTAGTCCATGATGGCGTCGTGTGTTACCAATGGTACGCTTTGAGACTGTGGTCCCAGCTCTCTTCAGGCCATTGGTCAGGTCCTCACATGTAGTTCTGGGATGATCTCTCATGATCACAGAGACCTCATGAGGCGAGATCTTGCATGGAGCCCCAGATGGAGGAAGTTTGACAGTCATGTTGAGTTTGTTTCATTGTCTATGATTGCACCAACAGTTCTTGTCTTCTCATCAAGCCCTTTGTCTATTTTTCTGTAGCCCATCCCAACCTTGTGCAGGTCTATGATGATCTTGTCCCTCACATCCTTAGACAGCTCTTTGTCCTTGTCCATGGTGGAGATGTTGGAGTTTGATTGATTGAATGAGTGGACAGGTGTCTTTTATACAGTTAAGGAGTTCTAACAGCTGCACTTAATAAATTGTAATGAGTGGAGAATATGAGGGCTTCTTAAAGACAAACTAACAGGTCTGTAAGAGCCAGAATTCCTAATGGTTGGTAGGTGATCAAATACTTCATATTTCATGCAATATAATGCTAATTATTTAAAAATCATTCAATGTGATTTTCATGATTTTTTGTTAAATTCTCTTTCTCACAATTGAAGTGTACCTATTATAAAAACTGCAGACCCTCCATTCTTTGTAGGTGGGAAAACTTGCAGAACTGGCAGTGTACTAAATACTTATTTTATCCACTGTATGTTGCTTCACTCTATCCTGAGTGACACTGGGTCCAAAAATACAACATGGCAGCTCCCGCCAATGGGATATTATGGCTTCACTTTTGAATAAAGGAAGTAGATGAGCACATGCTGTCCGTCTTTATTTATAGTCTTTGGTCGGACCTAAAAACAACTCAAGCACCACTGGTAACTTGTTCTTTTGTCCGTTTGTCTTCTGCAGCCTGAACCCCCACACAGTTTCCATGGAACTTGGAGGTGTGTGGGACAAGAAGAGGACACATGAATTGTATGTCCTCCAGACTAGGACAGGCCATAATGATTAACTTTACAAATCTACTGCACAGTTTAGTTACAAACCACATGATCAGAGGGTTCTCAGAAAGTAATCTATAGTGTAGTGTTTCCTGGGGATAGTGGACTAATGGTGTTTTCTTTTCACGTCCTCCTGCAGATCTATGCAGTGTCTGAACATAGCAGTTAGTGCCAACACCACCTTTTGTTACTGGACTGATATTTCTGTCAGATCTTTGCAACATACTTGGTACAAAGTCGTGCAATCCTGCATCGTACAGTGTGACATGGGTTCCTCTGGAAACTACACACTGCAATTTAAATGAACTCATGGATGTCTTGTAAATAGAGTGACACCTCTCAAATAAAGCTAATGCCGATTCTTAAAGTGTTAAAATGATCATTCTCATCTCCACGGCCTAATGATGTCTGACCAGTGAGCTGGAGCGGCTAGAGGCGTGCAAGCTGGGCTGGACCGAACCGATTTAAAAGTTCAGCGTGAAAAATAATTCAAGTGATTGCTTTTAAGTCGTTTTTCCTAGCTTGTAAATAAAAAAGGTAAAATCTGAATCAATACAAACTTCATGCATTTATATTATTGCTGGGAGCAAAGCCATAAGTTTGCACCCCTACTTCAGGAGTCTATGGGTGTGAAAATGGAAGAACCTTGTTCTTGTTTTGACACAAACACACATTTTATGTGTATCCATTTCATTTTACTGACTTTCATTCATTTCCTGAGGACTTCCTGCCGCTGCCTAACCTTCAGCATGTCTTCACCTCAGCGGTGTCTCTATAAGGAACAGACATCTCCAAAGTGTCAGTGAGTAAATACAGAACCGGAACATCAATGGGGGCGGGGCGGGAACCATTAATATTACTCCTGGTTTCTGGTAAAAAGCACAATCAAACTTTTTTCCTTTTTTTTTTTTTTTTACAAAATAGGAGCCGTGCAAAAGAACTTAAGGTTTCACGTTTATGATTGTCCATAAAAAAGATGAAACCTCTGGATTTTTTTGGTAGATGGGAAGAGAAATGTGCTGTTTCAGCTCAATTCCAAAAAACAGCAAAAAAGTGCAAAAAACAAACGTATGTAAACAGGGTCTATTTTTCTCATCAGTTTTAAAAAAGAATGGAGGCTTAATTGCATATATTATAAGCAGCACCTGCAGCGAAGAGAGAGGCATTCGGAGTGCTGGGGGGGTGGAGGAGTGGGGATGTATATGTGGGGGCCCCTCCTACTGGATTTAGAAGAGATGGCCGGGAATAAAAGCTGACATACATCCAAAAGCAACAGACCTCATTCTTGGGATGCAGCTGGGTTACAAGCTTCTTAGGTTCCGCAGTCTGGACGTGAAGTTCTGGTGTGTAGTTCATCCCTGACAGACGTCTGCACAAATCGTAGAAATCACAACTGCTTTCATCATCCACACTGTGAAGTTATAAACTCTGGCACCAAAATAATGGCTCAGCAGCGTCCAGCTCCCCTCGGACGGTCTCCTCTGAGTATAAACACACATATAAATATAAAATGATGTGTTTATATTCATATATATGCAGGTATGGCCATTTGTTGTTTCTGCATTGCTGAATCTTGACTGGATCGTTTCCTTTCCCTCCGGGACAGCACCGCCATGATGACCACCATGGTTCCTCCAGACTTCACTCAGTTGCCCAGATACCAAGACTGAAACAAAGACCACAATTCAGATTTAGGAGGAATGTCATCTTATCATTTATCTGTCTGTCTGTTAGCAAAATATCTCACAAACCACTGCACAGACTTTAAAGGGTGGTATAATGTATCTTCCAGGCCTATAGGTCAATTCTATGAAATAAAGTAACTATATTACCTTCATTTGTTATGAAAATGTTGTTTATATCAAAAATAAATTAGATTTTGTCTATTTAATCACCTTGAAATAGGCCTCTGTCTCTTTAAGAACCTTCTACTGTTTCTGACACTCCCACTTCAGCATGTTTTCAAACAATGCTTTGGGGGAGGGGTGCTCTGTGGGACAGGAGCTTGGCTGCAGACTGAGCTCCAGGGAGGAGCTTTGTGTAAATAGGAGGAGCTTTGTACCAGCAAGCGTTTAGGCAGCTCCATACGTCTACCACAGGAGATTCAAGGATTTCTCAAACATGCAAGAATGAGTCAAAGCAACATTCTGAGTATGTTTTTGATGAGAGAATGACATCATAACATGGTATAAAGCTCAAAAAAGTAGATTTTTCAAAATATACCCCCTTTATAGAAACAATCAGTAATGGATGGATTTCTACTAATTAATAAATTTTCAAAATGGCTGCCCCCATGTCGTTAAGTTTAAAGCTTGGAATTCAACACTGTCCAATTTTTTTTTATCTATTAACATTTAAAACAATGGGCCTCATGCAAGAACCGTTCGTACGCACAGATTTGTTCTTAAGTTGTGCGTACGAGTGATTTAGGAGAATTTGTGGCATTCACC